TAGTCCCAGCTACTTAGGAGGCTAAGGCAAGAGAATCGCTTGAGCCCCAAAAGTTTGAGGTTGCTATGAGGTATGACGCCAGGGCACTCTACTGAGGGTGACAAAGCAAGAGTCTGTCTCAAAAAATAAATAAATAAATAAAATAAAAAGAATTGACTAAATGGCAGCTAGGTAAGCTCTGAGTACCTGGGAGCAGGTCGTCTTGGGGGACAGTGAGGTTTTTGTGTTTACCCTTAAGCAGGACAACTTGTTGGAGTTCATGCATAAAATAAAAAGTTGGCCCATGTGGACTTTGATTATGCCACTTTTCAGGAGCCCTGGGAGAAGGGCCCTTTGTGTCCCTTTAGGAGATGTGTAGGTCCTTCGAGGGTATGACAGAGTTGGCTAGAGGCTCATCAGCCCCTCTATTCCACTGGGATTTCCACCAGCTCCACCCCAGATTACAGGGGGAGCTATGTTTATCTTTGAACTGTGGGTCAAGTTCTAAGGACTGGATGTTAGACTGTGGATGAGATAAACTTTCTCCATGTAAGAGGGAGAAGCCAAACGATAAGGGAGGGGTCAGGGTTCTCTTTTGCTGAGAGGAGATAAGGCCTTTCACCTGATTGCATCCACTGGAGTAAAACTTCTGGCCCTGAACTTACAATATGCTGCCTTTATCTACTCTGAACCTTGGGCCTGTGGTGCTCTAGAAGCTCTCATGAAGGTTCTCCCATCAGCTTCTGCAGATAGGATGATTTGAGAGCAGTGGGGGAGACTGGGAGGAATTGGCCCCATCATGAGAATAGGTAAATCTCCCCATCCTTGGACCCCCAGTCTGCTGGCCTAATCCTGACCACGTTTCCCTGTTACAGCAAGAAGCTTCGACCTGCATAAATCAGAGGCCATGCTCCGGAAGGTGAGATCCATCTGGCTTCAAATCCTGCTGTTGCCTCAGTTTCTCCCCATTAGAGTCCCACTTTGGGGCTGGGCATAGTGGCTCATGCCTGTAATCCCAGCACTCTGGGAGGCCGAGGCAGGTAGATTAACTGAGCTTAGGAGTTCAAGATCAGCCTGAGCAAGAATGAGATCTCATCTCTATTAAAAATAGAAAAACTACCAGGATGTTGTGGTGGGCACCTATAGCCCCACCTACTCAGGAGGCTGAAGCAAGAGGATCCCTCGAGCCCAAGAGTGAGGTTGCTGTGAGCTATGATGCCATGGCACTCTATCTAAGGTGACAGAGCGAGACTTGGTCTCAGAAAAAGAATCACACCTTGCTTGGACTGCTTTTGCCCACCCCTACCCTCTCTGATCACAGCCTTTGCCTTGTGTGACATATCTGATTATTAGCTGACAACTATTGCCCTGTCTCTCTAGGACAAAGTGCATTCCCTTCCCTGGAAATGTAGGCTTTCATAGTCCTGGGCCAGCCAAGAACGGTAATCTGTTCTGTTGAGACCTCGGAAATAGGCAGAGCCATTGTTTTCCTGCCTGTTGCCTTCTAGTGAGCACCTGTGGTCTGGTGGTTTGATCTCGCTGTCACTTATTGCTAGATTAACATATTAACCTCCCCTGCCCCCACTTTTGAAAATTCCTGATTGTGTTTTTGCAGCATGTGGAGTTCCGAAAGCAAAAGGATATTGACAACATCATTAGCTGGAATCCTCCAGAGGTAAGGACAAGTTATCCTGCCCCATCCCTATGCTATGCCTGTAAGCTGCATGACCTGTGTCCTGGGCCTGCTGGATGGGATCTCCAGAGGAGAGGTGTGACAATGCCAAGTGAGCCCTGATGGTTTCCAGAATGGGTATCCATTGGCGTGCATGGGAGGGATTTGGAGGGAGACACTGACTGCTCTGTGTCTTTGCTCAGGTGATCCAACAGTATCTGTCAGGGGGCATGTGTGGCTATGACCTTGATGGCTGCCCAGTCTGGTATGATATCATTGGACCTTTGGATGCCAAGGGTTTGCTGTTCTCAGCTACCAAACAGGACTTGCTCAGGACCAAGATGCGGGACTGTGAGGTGCTTTTGCAGGAGTGTGCCCGCCAGACTGCAAAGGTGAGTGGCTTACTCCTGCTGAAAATGAGTTGGCTGTGGCCGAGGCAAGAAAGCAGAAGCAGCGATGTCACACAGGAATTGAAGCACAGCTTCAGGGCTGAGGCCTAACCTTCTGGATTTCATAGCCCAGTGAAATTTCCAAGTTTTAGAGACTGAGATAATGCTGTCATATTTTTATTTTGCCAAGCAAGAAATTAAAAAGAATTTACCATCTACCGTTGCCAAAATTAACACAAAAAAATGTAGGAATGATGTAATCTCAGAATAAAAAGCAATTCTTTTTTTCCCCCTTTTTTTGTTTTATTTTTTATTTATTTATTTACTTTGAGACAGAGTCTCATTTTGTTGTCCTTGGTAGAGTGCCATGTAATCACAGCTCACAGCAACCTCAAACTCTTGGGCTTAAGCAATTCTTTTGCCTCAGCCTCCCAAGTAGCTGGGACTACAGGTGCCCGCCATAATGCCTGGCCATTTTTTTTTTTTTTTGGTTGCAGCCTTCATTGTTGTTTGGCAGGCCCGGGCTGGGGATTTGAACCCGCCACCTTAGGTGTATGTGGCTGGCGCCTTAGCTGATTGAACCACAGGCGCCGAGCCACACCTGGCTATTTTTTAGAGATGAGGTCTCACTCTGGCTCATGCTGGTCTTGAACTTGTGAGTTCAGGCAATCCACCCATCTTGGCCTCGCAAGTGCTGGGATTACAGGTGTGAGTCACTGCGCCCAGTCTTTTGTTTTATTATTATTTTGTTTGCTTGTTTGTTTTTTGCAGTTTTTGGCCAGGGCTGGGTTTGAACCTACCACCTCAGGCTTATGGGGCTGGTGCCCTACTCCTTTGAGCCACAGGTGCTGCCCCTTTGTTTTAATTTTTTAGACAGAGTCTCACTGTCACCCCAACTAGAGTGCCGTGGCATTATCGTAGCTCACAGCAACCTCGAACTCTTGGGTTCAAGCTATCCTCCTTGCCTCAGCCTCCTGAGTAGCTGGAACTATAGTTGCCCTCCACCACACCCAGCTAATTTTTTCTATTCTAGGTAGAGATGGAATCTCACTCTTGCTCAGGCTGGTCTCAAACTCCTGACCTCAAGCAGTCCACCTGCCTTGGTCCCCCAGAGTGTTAAGATTATAGGCGTGAGCCACTGTGCCCGGTCAAAGGCAACTCTTGAAATGGAATAAATTTAGCTTTATAAATAACTCCTTACATTATTAGTTATTTTTCTTGTTTATCTGGGGAACATTGAAATCTTTGTCATGGACCAATCCATCTTTGGGCAAGTATTTGGGACCCACTGGTATAAATGATCTCAGAGTCTGTGCTTCTCTGATCCTAGCACTTCGGGAGGCCAAAGCTGCAGGATCACTTGACGCTAGAAGGTAGAGACTAACCTGAGCAAGAGCGAGACCTTGTCTTTACTAAAAATAGAAGAAAATTAGCTGGCAAAGTTACATGCACCTACACTTCCAGCTACTTAGGAGGCTGAGTCAGGAGGATTGTTCAAGCCCAGGGGTTTGAGGCTGCTATGAGCTACAGTGACACCACTGCACTCTAGCCTGGGTGACAGAGCTAAGACCCTGTCTCAAAAAAAAAAAAGATAAGTACAGCTGATTCTCTTAGTGAGAAAAAGATTGAAGGACAGGGTGGAGCTGCTGCCATGGTCCTCTCTTCTTTCCTCCCAGCAGTGCTAAAGATCCATTAAAACAATGGGATGAAGTCTGGGAGCATTCCAAGGATATCATCCACAAGTGTTCCCTGAGAGCCTGCTGTGTGCAGAGACCTGGGGACATAGGAAGCATTAGACATGGATGTACTTGTTTAGGGCTCAGATTGGAAAGAACATTTGCAGCTGCACGGGTGTCACATGGGTGCTACTTGGTCGCTGCACAGAGTGCTCAGTGTGTCAGAGGAAGAGGGGGACTGCCAGACCGAACTGCAGAATGGAAGGGACCTCAGATGTAATCTAGATCCACCCAGTCATTCACTGGATGAGAACACTGAGTCCTGCCTATCTAGGTAGGAAGAGTGACTTGCCTAGACCTCAATTCTGGTCTGGAGTGATTATCTTGATTTGGGAAACCTTGGGTCCGGCCCCGAACAGCTCTGGTTTGCTTAATGGGTTCATGGCATGATCAGCATTTGCCCCTAACTGTGCTGCACTTCTGCAGTGGGGCAGCTTAACATGACTTCCTGTTCTTTGTTCCCTGCAGTTGGGGAAGAAGATAGAGACCATCACCATGATTTATGACTGTGAGGGGCTTGGCCTTAAGCATCTCTGGAAGCCTGCTGTGGAAGCCTATGGAGAGGTGAGGGGCAGGGAAGAGGGCTATGGGGCCAGATCCCAGCTTGGAGGAAGCAGGGCCTCTCTCCTTGGCACAGAGGTCTGGATTCAGAGTGATTTTGTTTCCACAGTTTCTCTGCATGTTTGAGGAAAATTACCCTGAAACACTGAAGCGTCTTTTTGTTGTTAAAGGTAAGTTGGGAATTTCCTGTGGTAGAGTCAGCTGGGAAAGGGGACCAAATATAGTATTGGGGCAGATTAAGGTGAGTGAGCCAAGGGAGGGGTCTAAAGATTTGTTCAGAAGTCTGACATACGTAGACCACTTTACAATTCAAAGGCCTCCACCCTGATGAGATAGGGAGAGACCCTTGGATTATACCCACTGTACAGATGGGAAAGCTGGACCTCAAGGAGGTACCCACACTAAACCTCACACCCTGGCTCCACTGCACTAGGCAACATGTGTCCCAACATAGGGTCGCAGAGCTGTAGAGGACACTGTCGGGGCAGCCTGGGCACAGCCCAGCCTCTCATCACCTGGTCTTTGTTCCAGCCCCCAAGCTATTTCCTGTGGCCTATAACCTCATCAAACCCTTCCTGAGTGAGGACACTCGTAAGAAGATTATGGTCCTGGGAGGTGAGTGGTCCAGACTCTTCTCTACTCCATAGTACGGTCTATGGCCCAAAGCAGGTCTGGCTTTAGAGGTGCTGCGATAGCCAGCAGGGTGAAGGTTCCCTCTACAGATTTGGTAGCAGTGGGACCCAGGAGCAAGCTGGGGCAGAGCTGGACCTTCCTGTCTGTTTGCATAAGAACTCTTTCTCTCAGACACTCTAGAAGCAAATACTGGCTCATCATTGTAGATTCAAAGACAAACTGAAACTCTGGTCCTTTCCCTTAAGGAGCTTACAGTATAACAGAGAGAAGCTCCAGAGAGAGAAAGCTATGGTACTAGCTAGAAAAGACACTAGAAGAGGCACCACAGAGGTCACAGGAGTGAGGCTGCTTGCAGTTGGGGATAAGTGGAGTGGCATCATTTGGCAATCGCCTAGTATGTGCCAGGTACCAAGGCTACAAAAGTGAATATGATAGAGTCCACTGAAGATCTCTTGGCCTCTTCAAACAGATGTCTTACCAGCATGACATGGTAAACAGTGGAAACCACAAAGAGCATGGGAGCATTGAGCAGAGGTGCTCACCCCACCTGAGCTCAGCAGGAGGTGACACCTACCTAAGCTGTGTGCTATGAATGAATGAGAGAGGCAGTCAGATGGAGCAAGGGGGGAAGCTGCTACAGCACTGAACAGATGTCACACGGCATGGCATAGGCATTCTTGTGGAATGTGAGGCAGGGTGTGGCAAGGGATGAGGCTAGAGTGGGGAGTAGGAGCTGCAGCATAGAGAATCCAGGGCACCATGTTGAGAAGCTGGGACATGACTGTACAGGCCACTGGGAACCAGAGAAGAGTTTTCAGCAGGGGAGCACCACAATCAGAATTTAAGCTGAAACATTATGCTGGCAAGATCATGAAGGAGAGAGACCAGTTTGCATGCTGTTGCCATAGTCCGTGCAAGAGGTGTAGCAAGCTGGAGCAGTGGTAATAGTGCGAGAAAGGAGAGGATGGATTTAAGATTGATTTAGAAAGTAAAACAGCAGAACTCAATTGACTGGATGTAGGAAGTAAGGGAGAAAGAGAAATCTAGAATGATTCTCTGATGGCTGGCATGACTGAATAGATAATGATGCATTAGTTCAACTGGGGAAAACACTGGAAGAATAGGCTTGAACAAGTTTGGAGTTTGAGGCCTCTGTGATATATACAGATGCTGGGATTACTTGAATCTGAAGCCTAGAAGACAACTACAGTCTGGAGATTTTAGAGGTATCAAATAAAGGTAGCAGCCAAAACCTTGAGAGTAGATAAGACTGTCCATGGAAAAACAGAGGCTGAGCCCTGGGGAATATCCAAGCTCAAGGGAAGGCGAAAAAAGAAGAGCCTATCAGGGAGACTGAGAAGTGATTAATGAGGTTGGCAGAGAAGCAGGTCAGCAGGGATTGGGTGTGCAGGGGAATGGGGGAGAACATCAGGGCACAAGGGAAAAGTGTGACCCAAAACCCAGCAAGGAGGATGCACAGCAATCAAACCAGCCAGGAACAGGCAGGAGTTCAGTTTTGCTGCAGCGTAAAATGAAGTGGTGGGAGAAGGGGCTGGAAGTGTGGACTGGGACAGGCTCATGGAAAGCTTGATTCCACCTATGAAGTTGACATGGACCTAGGTAATAGGGATTCTGAAGGTTTCTGAATGTTCACCTTTAGGTGACATGTTAAAAATGGGGATTTTCCAAATGTGTGCCAGTGACACTGGGGAAATGGAGTGAATTCATGAGGAAAGCTAGGACTTCTGGGTTCTAGTCCTAGCTCAGGCAGCAAAAAGGGTTCTGTTTCTTGTTGCCTCAGTTACTCTCTCTGTAAAATGGGAAGAATCCTCCTTGGCCTTCTCCCAACTCTCCAGCTGAAATGGAGGAAGAAATATAAAATCTGCACAAAAGGCTTTTATGGTTTTTGGTTTTTCTGCTGCTACCACCCACCAAGTGCATGAGGCGGTTTGGTTTCCTGGCAGCAGAGCAGTGTAGGAGGTTCAGTCTGTTCTCCTACCCACACTTAAAATTCTTTCAACCAAACCTGCCTTGGGCTGGGAAGGTACAGGATCTTCGACAGAGGAGGGGAAAAATTCACGTTAGGCTGGTCATTGGAGCTTAGCAGTACAGATTAGGTTACCCCAAGACCACAGACACTGTGTTCCCAGGAGTGGCCTGGTCTCTGGTCCCTACAAATCTGAGGGCTGGCAGACCCTGGACAGCCTGTGTGGTTTCCAGCCAGCACAGCACAGAGGACGTTGGGTTGTACCCCAAGACTTGGAGCCACTGCCTATCAGTGCTCTAGGTAGCAGGCATGGAAAGATTTCCAGTATCAAAACATTGTACTTGGCTAATGTCTGTTTACAAGTTTGGATTGGTGGAGAAGCAGTTCTCAGAATTGGCTGTTCCAGAATCAAACTCTCCTAGTCAGGAAAGGGCTTGGTCATTTAAAAAAAAGTAATAATGGGCCAAATCACTGGCAGCTAACCAGCTGAAAATAACCAGAGCACGAGTGAAACGGTGGCTGAGGTAAAGCCAAGGGAACTCATTTAAGGGGTCACTCTGCAGTGGCACATTTGTTCATGGAGTTGCAAGTAGGTGTAGGGAAAGTGCGGGGAAGCACACTCGGTTCTTCACTCGCGGAGTTCCCTGTAACCAGGATGGGTTATGTTGACTCGGGCCTTCCTGCCCACCACACGTGCTGTGCCCTTCCACCTTCCGTAGTCCCCTCCTGTTTGTACCTCAACGTTTTTATCACCTCCCTGGGAGTGGTCATAGACTATCGTGTGTGTACCTCGCTTTACAGTTTACAAAGCCCTCTCAAGTACTTAGTTCATTTCACTCCCACCGTAACCCTGCAGGACAGGAGGAACTAGGCTCAGAATGAAGTGATGTGCCTAAGGCTGCTCAGCTGGCCAGACGCAATGAGGACAGGAACCCAGGTCTCCTGACTCCTGGTCTGGGGCAGGGTCATCCTGAGTGCTGGCCACTCCTCAAGCCCCTGCAGTACTATGCATGCAGCCTGTGCTCCTACTGCCGGTATTTGGGGCAGAGGGGGTGGTGGTGTGGCGGATGGGTTTTTTCTGCCTGTTTAGTGTAGACCACTAGGGTTACGTAGGGTGAAGTCTTACCTGGTGCTGTGACAGACACATACATCTCTCTCCTTCCTTCCTTCTCCTGTCAGCAAACTGGAAGGAGGTTGTACTGAAACACATTAGCCCTGACCAGGTGCCTGTGGAGTATGGGGGCACCATGACTGACCCCGATGGAAACCCCAAGTGCAAGTCCAAGGTATGGGCCGGCAGGAGCTGGAGGTGAACAGGGAAGCGTGGCTGAAAGGACATTCCGGCTCACTCCATGCTCTGCTCCTAGATCAACTATGGGGGTGACATCCCTAAGAAGTATTATGTGCGAGACCAGGTAAAACAACAGTATGAACATAGCATACAGATTTCCCGTGGCTCCTCCCATCAAGTGGAGTATGAGATCCTCTTTCCTGGCTGTGTCCTCAGGTAGGGCTCTTTCATAGGTGGGCTGGGTGGGAGAAGCCCTGATGCCAATACCCCAGAGAGGGTACACACAGACAGAATTATGTCTAAATGGGTGATGTCCCTTGCAGGTGGCAGTTTATGTCAGATGGGGCAGATATTGGTTTTGGGATTTTCCTGAAGACCAAGATGGGAGAGAGGCAGCGGGCAGGGGAGATGACAGAGGTGCTGCCCAACCAGAGGTACAACTCCCACCTGGTCCCTGAAGATGGGACCCTCACCTGCAGTGACCCTGGCATCTGTAAGTATCTGTCTTGGTGATGTCCTGAAGCCCTATCCGGCTTTCTGCTGTGAGGCTCCTCTTCTGCCATGGATTTTTGGTTCTCAGAAAGTTACAGCCAGAATGGAACTCCATTAGTTCAACACACTTCTTATATACATGAAGAAAACTAGGCCTGGAGAGGTGATAGGACTTGCTTAAGGTGACCCAACTGGTTAATAGCAGGGTGGGACTCAGAACGGATACTACCAGGTATAGGTGAGTCACAGTTCTAGGTGATCACAGGGGTTCAGCTTGTCTGCTTTCTGGTCCAGGTCTAACTGGGTTTGTGACTGGCCAGACATTTCTTGGGGATGCCTCTTCCTAACGATCAGAGAGGCCAACTGGCTGGGAGAGCACAGGGTAAGCAGAATGCTGAGAAGTCCAGCCTTGTCCCCTCTGAGCCTCACTTATCTTCAGGTTGACCTTGGAATGGACATACAGGCATGTCCTTGGAATGGTAAACAGGCATTTAAAAGGGGTTTAGCTCAGGTGTAATCCTAGTTTTCTGGGAGGCTGAGGCTGGTGGATTCCTGAGTTCAGTAGTTCAAGACCACCCTGAACAAAAGTGACACACCATCTCTACTAAAAACAGAAAAACGAGCTGGGCATTGTAGTGGTTGCCTGTAGTCCCAGCTACTTGGGAGGCTGAGACAAGGGATTTGCTTGAGCTCAAGAGTTTGAGGTTGCTGTAAGCTATGATGCCATGACACTCTATCCAGGGTGACAGAGTGATCTCAAAAAAAAGAAGTGTTGAACTTTGGTCTTGCTCACTTGGCAATATTGATTAAAATTCCTTTCAGCTCAGCAATTCTATTTCTGGAAAATTTACGCAGAAATATTTACACAAATGCACAAAGATATTAGAAGAAGGATGTTCCTAGTAGCCCAGAAAACTGGCAGTAAAACAAATGGCCATAAGGTCTTCTTAAATAAATTATAGTCCCTCTAAACAGTGCAGTATCATGTACCTGTTATACAGAATAAATTGACATGTCTGATACATTTAGATACATGTTAAGTTAGTATGAAACATACATAGTATGTATCGTAAGCATTCAACTTTGGTTAGAAAAAGCATGTACACAGAAAAGAATCTATGCTAACTCCGAATGGGTCTCTCTGGGCTGGTAGGATGCTTATGGATGGTTCTAATTTTTACACTATTTCTGCAAATATATTTTATAATGACTGTGTACATTTATAAGCAGAAAAACCATACACATGCACACACCCAACCCAATCTTTTTTCCAATCTGTTAGAGCCAATGGAAAAATCAATGAGAACAAGAGCTTTATCATCAACCTTGAGTTGGACTTGGTGGCTGACTAGCATGGCCTTGGTCAAGTGCCATATACTCCTTAAACTTGCTTCCTGATTGCCACAATGGGGGTCTTACAGGAATCCCTGATGATTAAATGTGATCAGGAGGCACTTCGTGTAATGCTTGGCATACAGCAAACGCTCACTACATTGTAGTCACTACTACTATGGCAAGGCCTGGAGGAGGTAATAGAGAGAGATGGGAGAAGCCCTGTGCCCCGTGTCTACAGCAGTACAGCCAGATCTGAACTGGCCCCACAGGTGTCTTGCCTCAGCCTCTATACTTGTCCACACCATCACCCAGCCTGAGGATCTGCCTTCTCCTTGGTGTCTGAGGCAACTTTCAGCCTCTACCGCCCCCTCCTCATAGACGCCGTGCAGTGCAATATAGCTCCCCAGGGAGTGGGAGTATTCTTGTGAGTGAGCAGCAGTGTCCTGGGAGAGAAGGCATGTACTGTGTGCTTCAGCAAGAACAAGGCTTAGCACCAGCCCAGACAATGTCCACCACAGAAGATAAAGCACTTCATACGTACAAGCTTGAATTTCTTTAATTTCCTTTTTTTTTTCTTTGAGACAGAGTCTCAAGCTGTCACCCTAGGTAGAGTGCTGTGGTATCACAGCTCATAGCAACCTCAAACTCTTGCGCTTAAGCAATTCTCTTCCCTCAGCCTCCCAAGGAGCTGGGACTATAGGCACCCACCACAACAGCCAGATATTTTTTGTTGCAGTTGTCATTGTTGTTTTAGCTGGCCCAGGCTGGGTTTGAACCCACCAACTTCAGTGTATGTGGCTGGCGCTGTAACCACTATGCTATGGGCACCGAGCCTGGGATACACTCCTGACAGGAACCTTTACCTGCTTGCAGGGTGTTGACTGGGATATGCTTCTTGTCCATTCCCCTGAGGAACAGTCAGGCCACAGCCTCCATCCCTATTCCTAGTTGTAAAGACTAATGAGGTGGGTTCAACTGCTGTGTGGGGCCATGACTCAGGTTAGACCTGAGCACAGTGAGAACCCAGTGTTAGGTTGCAAGCTCACCTGCTGGATGGCAATGGAGAACCAGGACCCTTGGAAGTAGAAAATAGTCACTCAGAGGAGAAATTAAAACTCTGTGCTAGCCTCAATGGCAAATATACATTGTCCCTCCCAGGTTACCCTGGGCTTTGTCCAAGTATACTAAACTACCAGGGAGGAGAGGCAAAGTTTGAATTGATTTAACTTTTGTTCTCTCACTTAATTTTCTCTGAGTGCCTATTTAGTATAGATATTCAACTAGGAATGAAAAGATTCAGAAAAAAAGGACCTGGCCTTTGTCTATCAAGAGTGCATGACGTGGCTCAGCACCCATAGCACAGTGGTTACGGTGCCCACCACAACCAAGGGTGGTGGGTTTGAACCTGCCCCAGACCACCTAAACAATAACTGCAACCAAAAAATAGCCAGCTGTTGTGGCGGGTGCCTGTAGTCTAGCCACTTGGGAGGCTGAGGCAAGAGAATCACTTAAGCCCAAGAGTTTGAGGTTGCTGTGAGCTATGACACCACGGCACTCTACCAAGGGTGACACAGTGAGACTCCGTCTCCAAAAAAAAAAAAAAAAAGAGTGCATGACATGGTGTAAAAGTTAAAGTTACACAGCTCGGCCAGGCTGTGCTGCAGTGGACAGAGCCCAGGGGGCACTAGCAGGCCTGGTTTCTGAGTCCAGCTTTGCCACTGACCCTCCTAGTGTTTTTTGTTTGTTTGTTTAAAGACCCACTACAGAGCATCTCTTAGTGTTGTGAGCAAATGTTTCTAAATAACTAGATTCGGCTTCCCTTCTCCTTAAATGAAATGAGTGGACTAGACTAGGAGATATTAATCTAAGGTCCCCTGGAGCAGTGGTTCTAAATCCTAAAGACCAAATATTCCCCTTTTATAACAAAGTGTCTAGCATCCCCTCCACTATTCTGAAATAGTTATAGATAATATAACCCACTGGCCCACGTAATTTTAAAGTCAATATAATAAAAGCTTATATGGCAAGAGAATATATTTTTCAATACATAGATGAGCGTGCAAGATTGTACCTACTCCACCACACCACCCCCCTTCAGAATAGTACCTTTCCTATTGGGAACCACTACCCCAGAAGGTCTATGTTGGTTTTCTTCAGAATGTCAAAGGGGTCAGTTACCCAACAACAGTTAAGGAGCCTTACCTTGGAGGATCTCTGGAGGCTCTATAACTACATGATTAGTGTCAAAATGAAACATGAAGACTCTGGAGTTGCAGTGATTCCATTTCCCTTGGGCCTGTGCCTCTGATCAATCCCTTGTTTCTAAGGCTTTGCTAGGCAAAGCTACCTCAGTTCTGGTACTTGGACCAGGGAACTTAAAGGACCATTTCTCCAACATGGATAACTTGGTTGCTAAGGCTCTGTCATCCAGGGCAGACAGGAAGCTTTACTCCTTCCAGAGGGACAGTTGGTCCTGAAAGAACTCTGGTACAGAGAAAAAACTTCACACCATGAAGGAAGAGTTAGTTGGTGGTATGTCTACCCTTGGTGTAAGTGATGCATTTTATGCAGGGCAAGGAAAAGTTAATTCTTAGGATTAAATCCAGTTTTTTTCTTGGTGGGAAAAGTGAGAAACACCAGCAAAGGGAAGGGGCAGAGCTAGTGTTTTGTTGTCACACTCAGTTCTCTTGAAAAGGTGTTTGGCTGAAATGGAACAACTTCTCAAAGAAACTGGATTAGGTTAAAAGCAATCTGTTCCTTTGCCAAGGCTTAGAGGCCTTCTCTACCAAGGGCATGTCTATTTTCTCTTTCTAGAGCAGCAGTTCTCAACTTGTGGGTTGTGACCCCTTTGTAACAATGAAAATACATCGTGGCATTAGGAAGGTTGAGAACCACTGCTAACACATCTGGGCTACTATCCCACCAAATATTCTTCAACCCTCTAGAAGCCTGTTTCCATCAACATGTTTCAATAAACAAGAGCATATACACACATGTACATCTTCACAGGAATTCAGTTTGTCACTGAGTGTATGTTTGAAGGAATTCTGAGTTTATAAAACTCATCATAGGATTTGAAAACTTTCCTTTAGGACAAGCATCTGAGTGGGATTACCAAAGAGAACCTGGAGTGTAGGTAGACCAAAGCCAAAAAAGATTTTTAACATACAGACTTATAAAATGTTATGAACTACTGATAAACTGTTCTGTAACTTTTTAAGCCTCAGGATATATTGCGGACAGTTTCCCCAGCCACTTCTATGGAGCTGATCTTTCTTTTTATATCAGAAAAGTATTCCATCATATGGATCACAATATAAATTATTTAAATAATTCTTTTTTGATGAACATTCCAGGTTTCCAAGTTTTATTAAAAACAGGGATGCCGGCTTGGCGCCTGTGGCTCAAGCGGCTGAGGCGCCAGCCACGTACACCCAAGGTGGCGGGTTCGAATCCCCAGCCCGAGCCCGCCAAACAACAATGATGGCTGCAACCAAAAAATGGCCGGGCATTGTGGCGGGCGCCTGTAGTCCCAGCTACTTGGGAG